CAGACAAAAAAACCAGCTGGCAGTCAAAAAATTGGGCTTCCAAAACTGGCTTCCAGGAGGGTGGGAGCCAAAAAAACTAGCTGGCAGATAGAAAACAAAGCTTCTCGGAAGCTAAGGGCCGCTTCGTGATGCTGCTCATCCACTTGGTCTTGATGGCTTGTCCAGCGACAACCAAGCTCTGGTCTTTTTGGGCAATTTGTTTCTGGACCGCTCGGTGGAGGCTATCCTGCAAGTGCTCGCTCACGGCGGCGACTTCTCGCTCGAGAACCCCGAGTTCAGCCTCATGTGGGCCACACCTCACCTGGCCACCCTGCGCTCCCAAGGGAGGGCTTTCTTTGTGGATCTGGATCAGTGCGCTTTTGGTGCACCTTCAGTCAAGCCTACTCGGCTGGCTGTTTCCCATGAGTTGTTCACACTCCTGCATGGGCGTTGTGATGGAACGCACTCCCATGTTCGCTTACAGGGCAAAGTCTGGTCAGACTTCTTCGGCAAGTACGTCTTCCGCACTAAGCTTGCTCAGGTCTACCCTGCGCCGATGTGCGACTTGTTCGCCTCGTTGGTGGTCAATATATGGGATGCATCTGGTGCCCAGTTCTCACCGTCGTTCACGCTCACTGCTGAAAAGAGGAAGCGCCCTTTGGGTCAACCTGTTCGCTGGGCCGGCCATCGCCAACAACTGTCCGCCCTGAAAGCGGTCGCTTCGGGCTATCAGCTCAAACGAGGGGCCCTCAACCGCTCTTTGACATTGAAACAGAGCCGGGAGTGGCGATCGCCTGGGCTCTGTCCATTCCGCTCACGGCAGAGCTGGTGGTGGACCCATCCTTGCGCGCTTCCATTGATGCGCTCGCAACAGGTCGTTCGACAGCGGCTCCGGGCTCTTCAGTATTGGGAACAACAAGCACAACTACTGCTCCCTGAAACAGCTCTTCGACGTTTGTTGCGAGGTGCCCCTGATGGGATCCGGTTGCCCTGGGCACTTGCTGCCACATCATGCTCTACAATGCCATGCTCGAGAGCGCCAACTCGGTCGACAAGTTCTTGCCGGACTTACTGCTGCATGGATTCCCGATCGTCGGGCCTATTGCTCGCTCGCAGCGCTGGCCGCCGTATGAGAAGGACCAACCGCGCGTTGCGGTGGCTTCCGTGCTGGAGAGGGCCTGGGAGTTCCGACAGAAGATCATCAAAAGAGTTCAACATGTGCCAGTCTCTGAAAACTTGTCCAAGATTTGGGAGGCCACTATGGAGGATGTTAAAGAGGGGTCAACTTTGGGGCCTTTTTCGTCCACTAGTGAGGTCTCACGTTTTCTGGGTTGTGACGACTGGATCCCAACACAACGTTTTGAAGTTGTTCAATAGAACAAAGTCCGTGGTTGCGACAGCGCCACGACCAATTTCATCAACCCCATGACCGTGATCACGGAGAAGTTGCAACTGCCCTCAACAGATTTGAATGCGGCTCTCAGGTACATGCGGTCGAAGATGCCTCAGTCGAGGTTTGCAGGGTGGGTGTTGGATGAAAGGAAGGCATACCGTCAGGTGGCCATCAGACCTGATCATCGACAATTTAGTGTTATGTGCTTGAAAGATCCCGCTCAGGATGCTCCTGTCTTTTTCATTATGGTAGGGCGTTCCTTTGGGCTCGTGTCAGCAGCTTACAACTACAACAGACGATCGGCTGCCATCAATGAGATCCTTTCGGTTTTGTTCAAACTAGTGGCCTTCAACTTCTACGATGACAAATACGGTTTTGAACCTGTTGAATCGGCTCCTTCCGCATTTCGGGTCGCTCAGAGTGTTCACTGGATGTTGGGCGCAGCATTTGATCAGAAGAAGCTGCAGATCACCTCACAACTTGTGATCTTGGGGGTGACCTATAATCTGGAGGACTGGGTCTTAGAGATCAAAGCCGATCGGCGTGAGGACTTGGTTTAGGGATCGTTGAGCCTGGTCATGCAGGCAAACTCAAAGGAAAGCTGATGTTCGGTGCGAGTCGACTTTGGGGCAAGGTAGGTAGAGCGTTCCTGAGAGTGATCTCTGAAAGACAATACTCTAAGTTTCCATGCTCGGACGTCTTTCGACTCGATGAACCGCTCCGTGCCGCCCTTGCCCAGTGGAAGAACTTGATCAAGGAGGGTCCTCCCAGATCCATCGACTTTCGCTCGGACAAGAAGGCAGACGTGGTGATCTTCACTGATGGGTTCTCACCTGATCCTCGGGATGTCGATCGATTACCTGATCGGATTGGTGCAGTAGTTTTCGATCGTAAGATGTTGCGTCCTGTACAGTTCACAGCGGTGGTTCCCTCTGAACTTAAAGAGAAGTTCCTCGCTCGTAGGACCCAGATCATACCAGTTGAACTTTTGGCTCCAATAGTTGCCATTCACACTTTCAAAGACAGGTTGTTCGGGGTTGACCTCCTCCTCTTCATAGACTCGGAAGTGGTAGAGGCTACCCTGATCAAGGGATATTCGAGCAAAGAAGATCTATGCTCGTTGGTCTCGGTATTTTGGGATCTAGTATTAGAATTACGGATCCGTGTTTTTATCGATCGCGTGGCAACGGACGCAAACCCCGCCGACTGGCCCTCTAGGGATAACCTTAGGGTAGGCGAGTTGGCCGGGTGGGCGACCTGCCAACCAAGTTGGCCACGCTTGTTCAAGCAAGACGTACTGGACGAAGCGGATCAGTGAAAGAGGGGCCTGGGATCTGTGTGTCTCAGCTGGGAGAATGAGGTTCTTGAGGTTAGGATGTCAATGGATCCGCGAAG